GTGTGTGTGTGTGTGTGTGTGTGTGGTGTGGTGAGTGTGTGTGTAATTGTGCACTTGTATGGCGTGTGTATTTGTGTTTTGAGTGCGTGTATGTGTACTCAACTAAGTTGTGTTACCTGGTTGATGGGGTTCTGGGAGTTCTTCTACTGCCCAAGTCCGGCCCGAGGCCAGGCTTGACTTGTGAGAGTTTGGTCCACCAGGCTGTTGCTTGGAGCGGCCCGCAGGCCCACATACCCACCACAGCCCGGTTGGTCCGGCACTCCTTGAAGAAAACAATCTAGTTTCCTCTTGAAGATGTCCACGGTTGTTCCAGCAATATTTCTTATGCTCGCTGGGAGAACGTTGAACAACCGCGGACCTCTGATGTTCATACAGTGTTCACTGATTGTGCCTATGGCACCCCTGCTCTTCACCGGACCTCTGATGTTTATACAGTGTTCTCTGATTGTGCCTATGACACCTCTGCTCTTCACTGGACCTCTGATGTTTATACAGTGTTCTCTGATTGTGCCTATGGCACCTCTGCTCTTCACCGGACCTCTGATGTTTATACAGTGTTCTCTGATTGTGCCTATGGCACCTCTGCTCTTCACCGGACCTCTGATGTTTATACAGTGTTCTCTGATTGTGCCTATGACACCTCTGCTCTTCACCGGACCTCTGATGTTTATACAGTGTTCACTGATTGTGCCTATGGCACCTCTGCTCTTCACCGGACCTCTGATGTTTATACAGTGTTCTCTGATTGTGCCTATGGCACCCCTGGTCTTCATTGATTTGTGTGTGTGTATATATAATTAATTAAAAGTTAAATGTATTTTCGTTACATCTTCACACCTGACTTAAGACATAGTTGTGTGCACCTTCACACCTGACTAAGACATCGTTGTGTGCACCTTCACACCTGACTAAGACATCGTTGTGTGCACCTTCACACCTGACTTAAACATCGTTGTGTGCACCTTCACACCTGACTTAAGACATCGTTGTGTGCACCTTCACACCTGACTAAGACATCATTGTGTGCACCTTCACACCTGACTTAAGACATCGTTGTGTGCACCTTCACACCGACTAAGACATCGTTGTGTGCACCTTCACACCTGACTAAGACATCATTGTGTGCACCTTCACACCTGGCTTAAGACATCGTTGTGTGCACCTTCACACCTGACTAAGACATCGTTGTGTGCACCTTCACACCTGACTTAAAACGTCGTTGTGTGCACCTTCACACCTGACTTAAGACATCGTTGTGTGCACCTTCACACCTGACTAAGACATCATTGTGTGCACCTTCACACCTGACTTAAGACATCGTTGTGTGCACCTTCACACCTGACTAAGACATCGTTGTGTGCACCTTCACACCTGACTAAGACATCATTGTGTGCACCTTCACACCTGGCTTAAGACATCGTTGTGTGCACCTTCACACCTGACTAAGACATCGTTGTGTGCACCTTCACACCTGACTTAAAACGTCGTTGTGTGCACCTTCACACCTGACTTAAGACATCGTTGTGTGCACCTTCACACCTGACTAAGACATCATTGTGTGCACCTTCACACCTGACTTAAGACATCGTTGTGTGCACCTTCACACCTGACTAAGACATCGTTGTGTGCACCTTCACACCTGACTAAGACATCATTGTGTGCACCTTCACACCTGGCTTAAGACATCGTTGTGTGCACCTTCACACCTGACTAAGACATCGTTGTGTGCACCTTCACACCTGACTTAAGACATCGTTGTGTGCACCTTCACACCTGACTTAAACATCGTTGTGTGCACCTTCACACCTGACTTAAGACATCGTTGTGTGCACCTTCACACCTGACTAAGACATCTGCGAGACCCACCAACCAACCAACACACACACAGGAAATTACATTGTTTCCTGAACCAGGTCGGAACTGTTTTCAAATCTTCAAATGTGAACTAATTTGCCACTTACGGGAGACCATTAAGAGGAGGGCGTATGGTAGGGGGGGGGGGGAGCGCATGGACAAGGTGTATGAGGTTGTATGGTTGTATGGGTGTATGGTTGGGGGATAATACCCACGGTTGATGGGTAACGCGTGCTGCCCGAGTTGGTTTCCAGTGGGCAAGGATGACGTCCTGGGTAGGATAAAAGGTGCGCAGGATTCGGTGTAATTGTGGCCATTGTGAGAGGAAGGTAGCGCTTGTGGGGGTTGGGAAGGGGGGTGGGGAGATGGAGGAGGGGGGGGGGGGCATGGGGATGGGTTCTGAGGTTGGGCAGGAGGGAGAGGAGGGGAGAGGGTGATCGTCTTAGCCCCGCCCCCCACACCTGCCCAGGTATATAAGCGGTCGCGCGCGCCGCCCCGCTAGTTCATACGCCTTAGCGGACCAGGTCGCTGTCTGTTTTGTTTTTTTGAGGCTACACGCTGAGTGTGAGAGAGAGTAAGACGCTGTGTGTCGGGTGAGAGTGACTGAGCACCGCACACACACACACACTTGTCGCGCCGTGAGCCGACCTCACGCGAGATGGACGGCGCTGGTGCTGTGTACCAGCAAATGGTGCACGCCTTCGCTGACGCATACACCACCGCCCTCTTCACCGCCCGCCCGCCCACGCCCGACAGCGACTACGGGTCTCTGAGCCCCGCTTCAACGCCGCCTCCGAGTCCCACTCGTCTGTGCTCCTCGACCCGCGACCCGGTGCCCTCGCCCACCGACGCCTGGGCGCCCTTCACTATGGCCCAACAGACAGCTCAACAGACCTTTGTCACCTACCCGGAATACACCCAGATCTACGCCACGCCCGCAGCCGCCGCAGCTCTCATCACCAAGCAGCCGCAGTCTTCCAAACCCGCATCACCTCGAACCGCGACCACGCAGATTAAGACGGAGAGCTACAGAATACCCAACTACCCGTCAGCCCGAAGCCTCGCCAAGGCTCCTACAGTCGCGCCTCTCGGGTCAATAGAGAACAAACGCGAGCAACAGCGACTCGGAGGCTCAGCGATCCCGAACTTGTGCAAGGCGCCGAAGCCACCTCGCGGGAGCAGCCGCTGCGGCGTCCGCAAGCAGCGGTCCGGCCGCGAGGTGACGGACGGCGTCAGGAAGAAGAGAAGACTTGCGGCCAACGCCCGGGAGCGCCGCAGGATGGACAATCTCAACAAGGCCTTCGACCGTCTCCGCTCCGTCCTGCCGCAGCTGTGCGACGACCGCAAGCTCTCCAAGTACGACACGCTACAGATGGCACAGACCTACATCACCACCCTGGCTGACCTCCTCATATAGCCCTCGCTGGCCCTCCAGGGCTGGTGACGCAGCCTCTCACCGCTACCCTACGTAGTCTGTCAGGCCCTCCAAGACTGCCCACGTAGTCTATCAGGCCCTCCAAGACTGCCCACGTAGTCTGTCAGGCCCTCCAAGACTGCCCACGTAGTCTATCAGGCCCTCCAAGACTGCCCACGTAGTCTGTCAGGCCCTCCAAGACTGCCCACGTAGTCTGTCAGGCCCTCCAAGACTGCCCACGTAGGCTATCAGGCCCTCCAAGACTGCCCACGTAGTCTGTAAGTGCCCCCTCGTTACCACCCCAAGAAGACTGTAATTATACCAGTAGGTGTTCCCGGGTAGCCTGCAGGCGGACCTGCCTCCAGCGCCCACCACACTAAGGCTCGCGGGCGTGACGGAGGATGTACACAGTAGTGGAGGTGTTATGGTAGTGACGGTGCTGTGTGTGTGGGGATATTCCAGTGATCTCTTGTATCGTGTCAGGGACAGAGACGTCGTCGGTGACGACACAGTGTTCAAAACCTCTCTTCGAGCATTATGGTAAGGAGTCTTCAGTCCTCGCTAGATCTCATGGACTCCAGAGTCACCGCCGGAGCCGGGAAATTAGACCTCTAAGGGATATGAAACGACTTCACGCCACGACAAATCTTCTTAAGAACTTTATCTCCTGCCAGAAGAGAAAGACGACGCTATCTCACAGGACCTGGAGTGTAAACCTCGGTATCTGCGCCATATCGAAGCTTGTCGCCGCAGAGAAACGTCGTCTGATCATATGACATCTTGCCCGGAATCACAAGAGACTTTCTCGTGTTGAAGGGCGCGTCTCGCCCCGCCCGAACGCGTTCCCGCCACATGACGCGCGATGCTGGGCGCGTGGCGCGGTAACCCAGCCACGCGCCAACCAGCTTCGAAACAACTGGAAGCACGGGAAGCGCATGGGCAAGGCTTCCATACCTGTCTGGTATGGAACCATGGGCCGCCCGCCGCGGAACCATTCACAGGCAAGATATATTCGCCATGGAACCACGAACCAGCCAAGAACCCATTATTTTAGTTCATTCTACATCGTGGGTATTGGCTATGATGTCGTATCTCTGCTTCCGGATGAGGTACTGTGAGCCGACTTCAACAGTGACCACGACTACTGTTCCTCCTCCTCCTTCCTCCTCACCGTCGTCCCCATCATCACAGTAGAGACGAGATGGGGGAGGGATGTCTCAAATCCTGTATAAGTGGGTGACATATCCAGTATTAACGGATTATCCCCGTCCAATGTGAGATGGTTACATATCCGAGGTAAAGGTTGTAGCATATCCTATCTAAAAGGTTGACTCAAGTCCTATGTTATATGATAAGATCCAGTGTAAGGCGGTGGTGACTCAGGTCCTATGTAATGGGGAGATATTCCTCTGTTAAGGGGGATGACATGTCCAGCATAAGGCAGGGAAATAAACATGAACTTATCTTTCCAAATGATGCAAAAAAAAAAAAAGATATTCAATCAAGGAGGGATCTTGTGTCTTAAGATTTCCTTGATGTAAATGAGTTGTAAATGTCATTTGTGTTGTGATTTGGGCCGTTGACGCAATGTTGACGCAGTGTTGACGCAATGTTGACGCAATGTTGACGCAGTGTTGACGCAATGTTGACGCAGTGTTGACGCAGTGTTGACGCAATGTTGACGCAATGTTGACGCAGTGTTGACGCAATGTTGACGCAGTGTTGACGCAATGTTGACGCAATGTTGACGCAGTGTTGACGCAATGTTGACGCAATGTTGACGCAACACTGGTAGCCGACCCCTGTCTTGTACAAATATCTGCAGCGTAACAGTGTTTCCATTTTGTGAAATCTACTTATTTGTGAATTCTATTTGATACTGATCTTTCAAT